GAGAGAGAAATATAATATAATAATAAGTATCTAATAAATAAGTGAAGAATGAAAAATCAAATTTTCATAGATTTAATCATTTTTAACATCCAATAAAATATCGAATAAAACATTAAAGTTCTATATTCTATTCTAAGACACAAGAAACAGCATTCATATCGTTCATCGATTTTTCGCGACATTTACCTGAACCTGACTGATTCTCTCGGCATTTCCCCCGTGCGTCTCGCTTATGTGTCCCACCAAAGCTTCCCGGGTGAGATACCTCGTCAAACATTGGACGCACGCGTGATACTTATCTCCGTGACTAGCGACCATGTGTTGGAATAACGCCTCCAAAGTATCGGCAGATTTCTCAAAGCAGTACTGGCAGTTCTGGGAGGGTTTTCGGAGATTCCTCTCTGATCTCCTGCCACCGCTGAGCTGATGTGCTTTCTCCATATGTCGCTGTCGCCGGGACATGGACAGGAACTTCCTGTCGCAGTAAAGACAGAGGACTCTGACCGGCGGAGTACTGGACGACGGTTTCGACTTCTGAGCCAACGGAGGATTCGAGGACAATCCTGAAGCGAGTCGTGAGGTTACCGATTCGCTCGTCTGACAGTTTTGAAGCACAGACGCGACTTTGTCCAAGGGTAGACTGCAATGCAGGCCCGTCATGGACAATTCCTGAACGATACTTGAATCTTTGGTCTCCTCCACCCTCGATTCGGTCGCGTCAGTCTTCTTCGACTTCTTATATTCTTCGGTCTTTTGGTGGTTCTCGTGATCGTTGACGATGCGGTAGACATCGCTCAACAGATCGTCTAGCAATTCACCGCAAATCATTCGCACCGTGGTATCTTCCGAGACTGCATGTTCATCACGCATTCGGTTTCCTCTGCCGTCATCAACATTCGCTCTTTCCTCAACCTGATGCTCACTCAATCTGTCCATTATAATTGTGCTTAGTGTTCGACTCTCCTTCTCCCTCGAAACTCCTCGATCATCTTCAGATGATTCTTCCTGCTCAACGTCTAGATCTTCTTCCTCTATCCTCGAAGGTGATTCTTTTGAATCTTGACTAATTCTGTCCTCCGAATCTTGTAAACTTTCTTCTGTCATTTCTTTTGTACTCAAGCAGTCTATAATCTCCAAGAATTCAGCGTCTTCGGTATTTTTGACCGTCGAAGAGTCCTCTAATCGCGGCACAACAGCTGCTTCGATATCACCCTCGCTTGAAGGCTCAGACTTGACTGTCATATCTGTCGGATCTTCTTCCTCCTCTTCTTCTTCTTCTTCCTCTTCATCAGTATTTTTCCTCTGTCTTTCCAGCTCTTTCATTTTCTCTATATTCTTATCTTCCTCCTCGTTGTCCTTGATCACACCATTCAGCACCGTCATCACATATTTCTCCAAAGTTTCCAGGTTTCTCTCGACGCTATTCCGATCGTCCTCTTCCTTCCTCGGCGAGTCCGAGTTTCCACTGGCTGCTCCATCTGGCACCTTTTTGCGCAGATTGTTGATTACGTTGCTCAACCGCGATCGCTTGTCCTGGGCAGTCTGCGCCGATGATCTGTAGGCATGACCGTAGCGTTCCTGCAGATGCTGTTGTTGCTGTTGATGTTGCTGACGATCGGCGTTGCTCCCTGCTGCGTTGGCGGGATGGTTGACGCCCAGATCCTCCAGGCTCTGCGTCGACGCTACCATCCTATCGGACGACGTAGTCGAATCGGATGCCGAAGAGATGCCGGACAATTTCGCCGTGTGATAACCCTCAATCGTATCGTCGTTCGGTGTCTCGCTACCAGTTACGTCCGCCGAAGCCGCCTCTAAAAAAGATTTTCCTTATAATCGTCGCTATTTACGTAATACTTTTCTGTTTCGAACTTTCAGTTATTGCGAAACATTTAGCATCTTGCATTTTCGATCATTGAAGAATAGATATTTTTTTTCTTCCTAAACTGGTGCACACGATGCAACAAGTTGAAGTGATACAAATATAAATTTGATTATGGAATCAGAGAATTTGTTTAAGGAGGTTCTCGCGCTACTTCCTGGTCAATAGATAAGTTTATTTTTTAAATTGTATAAAAAATGATAAAATAATAATATAAAAATCTTATCAACTATTTCTTTATGCAGGATGTTTCAAAATTCGCGCCTGCGAAATACAAGACGTGACACTTTATTAAAACAAATAACTTTTTTCTTTAACAAAATTGCGATAAATAATTTCGATAAATAATTTTTGCACTTATTTGTTAACTTGCTCTCCTGCAAAAACTATTTATCGAACGCAATTTTGTTAAAGGCAGAAGTTATTTTTTGTGCTAAAACAAATAACTTTTTCCTGTAGTTAAATTACATTCAATAAATAAGTTTGCATTTACTTGTATAACTTCAACCTGCTCTCTGTTATTAAATATTTTTAATTAACGAAATAAAACGCTTATTTATATTATATTATAAAATTTATAAAATACTTATTTGATGATAAGCTCAATATGCTTGAGATTATATATCATTGAGTTTATATATATGTGCTTGCTCTCAAAATAGTGCATACGGCAAAATATGCAGAGATAGAGATAATGTAACACCGCGCAATTATGACACAAATTTAAAAGTTGCTATTGGTAAATTTAATATCTTGATTTTCTTCATCGAAAAATATAAATTTCTTTCAAATTATGCACAATTAATTTAGACAAAACTTTACTAAAATAGATTGAAGTGTATACTCTGTACTTATAATTTATAATTTTTTAAATTTCTGCTTTATACGCAAATATTTCAAATTAAGAAAAAATGCCTACGAGATACAATTTTGTGTATACTTGTAAAATTACATTATACATTTAGAATTAAATATCTTTAAAAATCAACAAAATTTTTTCTAGGTATAATTAACCTTCGTACCACATATGTTGTATTGTAGATTTGTTTTATATTCAAATACGTCTCAAAGTCGCGAGAACCTCCTTTTAAAGTTCTCAGCCTTCTCGACAGATATCGCGTAATTTATTTTTGGATCGCGAAGATAATTGTTTAAAAACGGACAACGTACAGCGAGGCGATAAATCGTTACCATTGAGAAACAAGCGAAGTATGATGGCTGTTTATTTATTTAGGACTTTAGGCGAAGTTTCACGTAATCTCGTGCAAACCTCTGTTCACTGGTGCTGCTTAATATTAATCTTTGTTTAACTGATTCTTAGCTCTGGTCGCATCTCGATAAAACGGGTTAATTATAACTCTTAATTATTATTTCACTGTCTTTTTTATAATCATATCAAAATATAAAAATAAAAATTTAGTTAATCTGAATTTATCTCATCAATGCAACTTTTTTAAAGAATGGAACGAAAAAAATATAAATAATGAAATAAACTATGATTAAACTATGATTAAGTGACGATAAAATAAAAAATTGTTACAATGCAATTGTAATGAAAAATGACAGCACATATTTTAACTGTTTGCACTTTATAATTTTCACAAATGAATAAATATTATAAAATCTTCCGTTTTTAATTGTTTCATAATGTTGTTGGTATTGCTTAATAGTCAGAAAATCTTCATTAGTTTTCATAAAAGAATAAAAAAATATAATTTACAATTCATAAAAGAAGAACTTACTTTAGTCGTATAACTTATCAACTTACAGATTTAAAATGAATTTTACAAATCACAGATTACATCTCGATTCTTCATACTGAATCGTATAGTCCCTCATAGTTTCCGTTATTTAAAAAAGTGTATTTTATTTTTTGAAAAAAAAAATTTTAAAAATATAGAAAGAAATGAAGAAACAGAAGATACCATCCATCGCGAGAAAATCAGAAAGAGAGAAAGAGGGTAAAGGCTCTTCACGGTTGTGCCTCTGCCGACACTTTTTTATCCGGAAGTCGGGGAGAAGGGAGGCTGTGAGAATCGATAACCGTCCCTCTGCCACGTCGAAAGGGGTTACGTTTGTACGAGTAGCGTGCTCTACGAAAGGGAGAGAGAGACAGATATACATGTATATACGCGTCTCTGTGTATGCGCGCAGACATACAACTGCAGCCCCTGACAACAGCCCCGAGGTGGTAAAAACCGGCCGGCTTAGCAATACCCGCGACAATCCCTTCGACCATCCGGTTCGTTTTGCGAAAGACATTGACAATAATACGTAATTAATGGTTTATCTATCGCGAATTATCAATGATATCGATATACATAACCCTATTCCTCCCGCCATTTTACACGATATCGATTTATTTCTCGTCCATGTCTTCTGAGCTTTCCCCTTCACGTTTTATATGCAACGCATAGTAGGTACCTATAGATCCGTTGAGACTTTATCATCATTAAAATTGCGAAAGAACTGATCCCACCAAGAATGTATTCCAAGGAATTCTAAAAATCTTTGAGAGCTGTTACAACATAATGTCTCAAAATCATCGTTAATAAATATTGTAGAACAAGTTACATAATGAATAGTATTATCTACCGCTCCTATTATCAAGGGAAAGTAATACGATTATCTTAGAGCAATTTATCTCTCCATCGTATTTTAATCTCTAAAGTGAGTAATTCTTTTTCGCCATTGTTATACCTATATAAGTAATTCGCGAGGCAACATAGATTATTTATTTATATTTTTATTATAGTGACCCAAGATTATTGCACTTTAATAATAAAAAAGTTAAACAATAACTAGCACAGAAACTTATTATGCAGACATCCCACTCAGTCAAATATCTCAAAACTGTAAATTTTAGAAGAAAACAGTTCAGACAAAAGTTGTGTATGCTTTTTTTACATCAATTGATTTATCTAATTATTCTGAATAAAAGTATTAATACGATTATAAAAGTACGATTATAAAAGAAGTAATAAATATATATTAATATATATATATATTATAGTTGACGAAATATTTTATATTTTAAAGTCAAAATGTGTCAAACTCATAAAGTATCTCATAAACAATTGATTTTTCGATAACTCTATCTTAATTTACATATAGAATAATTAGAGAAATCATATTATGTGAAAAACTTAAAGAATTTCATTTAAAAACAGTGATAATGAACTCAAAAATTTATTTCTATGTGAAACTTAATCCTCTGTTGATAAGATTGGAATAAAAATGATCCCATGGTTCGTTTATTTTTTATTGCACATGCACTGACACATTATTTTACGATTATGTGGTCTCGGCTAACCTATTTTTATTCATTCACTAAATATCTTAGCGGTCGAAATTGTTTAGGTAAGTAACAAATCCCTCCAATTTTTGTTTATGTTTTATGTCGAAGCTTATGCTCACGCTGTTTTTATAAATTCAGATAAAATTTTACATTTCATAATGATATTCATTATTTGTTTACTATTTTGAGGCTAAGGTAATAAGCTAAACATTTCTGTATGACTATTGTGTATGTAATGTCTTTTTAGTTATTTTAATTATATATAAAATATTTCGAGACTGATGCAATTTATTTATGTAGTCAAAAGCGTTTTTATTTAATTTTTGATTTAAAGTATAAATTTATAAAGCATAAATGCATAACACTATATTTTTATTTATGTTTATAAATAAACAGGGAATAAAGTTTCATGTTGTTATTTACTTTTTTCATTTATTTGGTACATTAATCAGATGAAAAATGAGCACGAATCGATCCCACTTTACTAGACAATCTAAAAATCCATCTTGTCAACGCAGGATTAATTTTATCATTATTTGCGCTTCCACTATAAGACAACACATTATTACTTTTATTTAAAAAATTTTCTTCTAAAACTAATTTTTTTTCTTCTAAAACTTATTTGAGACTTTTAACTGACAAAGTTAAAGCAGAATGTATATAAATAAAAAAAGGAAATAATTTAAAATCAATCCTTTGTAATGAAATAATCATATTAATAAAATTAAGTTAAAAGTTGAAGGAATAAAAAATTAATTTAATAAAAATTAAATTAAAATTGAATTCATTCAAATTTAAAAAAAGTTAATTTAAAAAAAAATTATTTTGATAAGAAAATCCTAATTTTTTTTTAAATGAGATTACTTTAGATAACACTTATAATATAGATTATTAGATAAATTTAATTTTTTCATCATATAAATTACTTATATATATATA